TTTAAATTTTTGAAATTCATAAAACTCTTAAAATTTTTAAAAAATTTTTGAAATTTCTATAAATTTTAGAAATTTTAAAAATCTCCGTCCTTTTAAAAAAAAACTTTTTTATTTTTTTCAAATTTTTAAAAATTTCAAAAATTATAGAAATTTTAAGAACTTTATACATTTTAAAAATTTAAAAAAGGTTCCTCTGGCCAGGAAGCCCAAGATTTTAAAAATTTGGAAAATTTTAAAAAGTTTTTTAAAGGACGGAGATTTTTTTTTTCAATCTTGGGCTTTTTGGCCAGAGGAACCTTTGTAAATTTTCAAAATTTATAAAATTCGTAAAATTTTTGAAATTTTCGAAATTTTTAAAAATTTCAAAAAATTTTAAAAAGTTTTTTAAAGGACGGAGATTTTCAAAATTTTTTAAAATTTATAGAAATTTCAAAAATTTTTAAAATTTTAAAAATTGTATAAAATTTTAAAAATCTAAAAGTTTCCTCTGGCCAGGAAGCCCAAGATTTTAAAATTTTTTTCGAATTTTAAAAATCTCCGTCCTTTAAAAAACTTTTTAAAGTTTTTCTAATTTTTAAAATCTTGGGCTTCCTGGCCAGAGGAACCTTTTTAAATTTATTAAATGTATAAAATTTATAAAATTTATAAAATTTTTCAAATTTAAAAATTTGAAATTTCTATAAATTTTAAAAATTTTCAAAATCTCCATCCTTTTAAAAAACTTGTTTAAATTTTTGAAATTTTAAAAATTTCAAAAATTTTAAGAATTTTATAAATTTATATAAATTCTAGAAAATCTAAAAAGGTTTCTCTGGCCAGGAAGCCCAAGATTTTAAAAAATTTAAAATTTTTAAAATCTCCGTCCTTTAAAAAACTTTTAAAAATTTTTCAAATTTTTAAAATCTTGGGCTTCCTGGCCAGAGGAACCTTTTTAAATTTTCAAAATTTATGAAATTCGTAAAATTTTTGAAATTTTTGAAATTTTTGAAAATTTCAAAAAGTTTAAAAGTTTTTTAAAAGGACGGAGATTTTTTTTTTAAAAAATAATTTTTTTAAAGCTTTTAAAAAAATTCAGAAATTTAAAACGTTTTTTAAAGGACGGAGATTTTCAAAAAAATTTAACATTTTAGAAATCTTAAGATTAGAAATCGTAAAGAAATTTTTAAAAGGACGGAGAGTTGTAAAAACTTTTAACAATCTTGGGCTTCCTAGCCAGAAGAACCTTTGTAAATTTCTATAATTTATGGAGCTTTCTCATTCTTAGGTGAAGGATAAAGGACATTGCTTATTCCTTGTTGACGAATGGAAGAGTTTTCTCAGTCTTTACTCCAACAAAACACAAGGGCTCTGCTATTCCTCAGTAACAAATAGAGGA